AGAGGCTAGTGCTGTAATTCAATGAGCTCAGTCCCAACTCGAACAGAGTATTTGAGTAAATACAGTTACAGCTTTTAAAGACAAAAGAAAACAAATACAATATCCACAAGACAAAATATCAAAAAGGACCAAATAAAAAATTAACAGTAATGTTTAATATAACCATATATATTTATTTATAACACTCCTATGGTCGTCATTTCCCCAGCATTAGAAATGTCCTCAGCTCAGACACATCAGTGCTGTCCAAAGGTAGAGTCACAGCTTCTTTGCTCCGAGCCATGCACTCAGCTCGCCAGGCAGACCATCTGCGCCCTTCGTTCCAGCATCCTCAGAGAGATCTAACAAATGGGTACCAGGATTTGGCTCAGGTCGGCCAACAGCAGCTAGCAGCATCAACCACAGGTTCTTTCCTTTGAACCCAGTTCTCCAGTGGAATTAGGAATGTCTCCAGGTCTCCACCTCTCAGCTTCTGAACTACAAGAGCTAATGTTCCCTCAGAGCGCACTGAAGATTAATTCAGAGGTAAAGTCCTGGTACAGGGTGACATTGACCCAGGAAGAAAATGTCATCATACATTAGTACTGTTCAATAGGACTTCTAAGCCGATGTAATTAAAGATGAGACTGAGCACAGCAGCAGACGAGCACCCAGGAGCCTCACACCAAAAAGAGACACGGTTTCACTGAGCAGTTCCACTCACTGGTGGTAATCTGACAACTGTTCGAATTTTACTTTGTCATGTCAAATATACTCAGGACTTCTTGGTTTTCTCATGCAAGTCACAGAAGCTGGTACTTTTTACCTTTCTCAAGCGCACTAGAGTTTTTGACACCTGCACGGAAGTTCTCCTTTGACAACATCCAAGACTACAGTCCAGCACCTCCACGTTTAAAATAATAATAAGGTTAATAAAATAAAATAAAAAAACAGTGGTCAAGGTGCGAGTTGAGGCAGGTACAATGTGAGCAACAAAATGTGCATGTTTCAAATATAGTTTTGCAAGCTGTGCACACAAAAATAAGCTATAACTTTTAAAAACTGACGATGCAAATTGCAGCTACATGGTTTGCTGGTCACGTAGTGACAAACACTCAGAATTCAGTGAAAATGCAACTAAAAATGTGTAACTCCTTGCAGTTTTCTTGCCATTCTAAGTTAGCACTGGTCCCCAACAGTCAACGCTCAATGAGGTATTTTCTATTGAAGTCAGGATAAAAATTAAAGCTACAAAATGAGTTTTAAATTTTTTGAAGGGCAAAACAATTTTACATTAGTAAAAGAAACAGCTAATAGGACACGAGGACCTGCTTCTACAACCATCTGTAATCAGAATGAACTTTTTGTTCCACTAAAACTGAACAATGTAGAAGGTTCTTCCTCACTTTTTTGTTTTGTTTACACCTGTTAGGAATTATTTCTCGTCACCATATGTTTCTGAAAACAGCGGCGCAATGATCTCTTCAGACTCCAATAGGATATGAGCTGTGTGAAAGAATGAATAGATTTAGTCCAACAACCAACTGGTGTGCCCGTGTATATCCTGAGGAGCACAAGAGGTTTTAATCAAGGCTGAGGTCTTTGGCTTTCTTCAGGCTAACAGATATCATTAAGCTCGCACATTTTCAGTTATCGCCAAACGTTCATTTTAGAGGGACTGGCTGAGTTCGAGCCCAGCGGTGAACCCTGGCAGCTGGAGAGGCAGGGGGTGTTGGGAGCACTGTATTTACTTATGGTCTGTTGTGGCAGCCTGATTTTTCTCTGAAGTGTTCATTTGTTTGTTTGGTCTGTTCCCGCTCACTTCCTCGACTGTTCGTCTCATTGCTTCTTGGCTGCAGAGCCCATCAGACTGAAGGTCTGCAGGAAGCTGGGCCTGATGTGTCATTAGAGCTCTTCGCACTGCACCCAGATTTTAAAAGTTTCTCTCATAACACAACACACTGCCCACCTAATGAACTAAACAGCTGCTGCTCAGCTCAACTTCAAAAAGGAAAAGCTAATGTCCAAGAGTGAGCCGTTATTACTTTGTTAATGAGCACAAATAAAAGATTGACAAGTCTGGATGAATTTATTATGTTAATTATAGAAAGACGTTAACACTTACATGTTTTAAAGGAGTGTCATTTATGCTTTAATTTATTAAAAGCCTTCAGACAAGTGATAACATTGTACCTAGTGTTGAACCAAAGCTACTCAGTCAAGTTCTTTTAAAAATGGATATAAATCTCTATATAATCTAAGCCTGTGTGGCTAAAACAGCCCTGAAGTAGACTAAAGCCTTTGCATACCAACTCTTGGTGAAAACAACAAACAGTTACAATCAGTGGATGAGAAAAGACATCAGCACACTAATATGAAGAGAACTCCAGTCACCTGATCCCCGTCATCATGCGACAAGATGCAGAAACAGGACCAGCAGAAAATCTCACAGGTTGTCATTTTATGAGCCTCGTCACAACACGTTAGCTCTTCTTAAATTTTAATTATAAAATAAGTGAAATGTATGCATTTTTACTTTTAAGTTTAAACAGTAAACCTTTCTTTATCAGCCTACGCAGTACCATTTTGCATGCACATGCAGTGGATGACCGTACAACACACACAACTCGTCTTCTCAAACAAACTTATTGCATATCTTTAGCTGCAAAATTTTTTACTTTAATTTGTTTCAAATGTTGGCATTTTGATAAATTTGAGAACACATTACAGTAAAAACTACAGCTCAGGCATCAACTTTACGTTTTGTAAATAGGACAATTGCTAAAACAAACAGGGTTTTAACATATTTAGCAGATATTGTTCATTTCCCCGACTCATACCTGCATTAATATTTAAACTATCCAAACAGCTTTTTCTCTAAATCTCTGTTTTAAATGACCTGGTCTATGTCTTTCTTCCTTCCTGTATATGTCATCGTCTTTATCTTTTACATGGGGAACTGAAGGGCATTTTTATTCCCATGTTGCTGGTAATCCTGATGACACTCGAGGGGAATTGATCCCAGCTCTTACAGCAGATGCCTATTTAGTATGCAGAGTCCATTTTGCTTCTGCTGCTTGTTCTGTTAACAGATTGGTAGGGTACGACGCCATGCTGAGGGTCACTCAGACAGCTTGGTATGTGGTCGACATTACACAGCTGTATGACCTCTTTATAACATGTTGCTTGGATGAAGAGGAGCACTTCCGGTATACTCCAACTCTTCTTTCATTTATTTTTGTGAGCTACTGATGCAATACCAACTTTACTAGCAATCTGCACAAATATAAGACAACAGTGACAAGTTGTTTCTATTTTGCTCTAAACTAACCTGCACCTTTATGTCCTTATACCTACAAGCCTATTGAGACACCATCCATTGCCTACAATGACAATGTGCTTGTGTCCAGCAATGTCAAGTAGAAAGTTTATGGTGGCAGTTTACAGCTTGTAAGAAACAAAGAAGCTCGATCAGACTGCTCGATATCGGCTGAAGATCAGAAAGATAAATCTGACAAAGCCTCCTTGTTTATTTCGATCAAAGCCATCCGTGTGGGTTTTACAGAGACGATGTATCAGCAGCAGGAGATTGTTGTTTAAAAAAAGAAGAGTAAGCAGGACTGAACAGATCCTCTGGACAAAAGTTTGACAGTTTTTGTGCTTTTGTCTAAATATGCTGGTGAAGATTCTCAGTCATCCAGGACATGATGAATTCAAAAAACATTCAACACAAAAACAACTGGACTTTATCTGTAACAGAAGACGTTTCGCTCCACACGTTTCGTTCTACATTGGAGAAACTAAACAGCCTCTTCTCAGACGCATGGCTCAACACAGGAGAGCCAGCTCTTCAGGACAAGATTCAGCTGTTCACCTCCACCTCACAGATAAGGGACACTCTTTTGAGGACCAAAATGTGCACATTTTGGACCGAGAACACAGATGGTTTGAGAGGGGGGTGAAGGAAGCAATTTATGTAAAAAGAGAAAAGCCGTCTCTTAACAGAGGAGGAAGCCTCAGATTTCCACTTTCAAAAACATATAATGCAACTTTAAAACAGATTCCCAGCCGGTTTTCACACCTGATGGGAACAGAGGGGCCTCGTCTGTGAATTAGATGAACAAAGACCTGCTGTTAAGGTGTTTAGGTGTGAACTGCCAATCTACATATATGTGTGTGTGTGTGTGTCTTATCTCACTCAGCCTTATAACCTGAACCCCTTACTCTCTGCTCTTTGAATTGAGAAAGCTCCTCGGATGAGGAGCGAAACGTCTTCCATTACAAATAAAGTCCAGTTATTTTTGTATTGAACATTTTTTGAATTTTGTCTAAATACTTTCTGAATTATGTCACAAGTATTCCTCACTATTCGAGTCATAAATCTGTGGGTTCAGTGAAACCCAGGTAAAATTATTGAATTAAATTCAATTCAGTTTATTTATATAGCGCCAAATCGCAACAGAAGTCGTCTCAGGGTGCTCAGTATTGTCACAATATGGTCAATAAATTGAAATATAAAATGTATAATGAAGTTGCACAGTTTCTCTGGCCTAGTCTTGAGTGTACTACAGGAGATTCAGCAGCCCTATTGTCAGGGGAATAAAACTGTTGACACATTCTGGTTGTTCTTGATACGAACGGTCTCGTTTTCCAGACAGGAGGTTAAACGGCTTGTTGACAGGGATAAGAAGAAATAACAACACTGATGAGTTTTTATGCTTCTCACCTTAAAAATGAACTCCTTGAAAGGATAGCAAGGTCTCAGTGACACTGGTGTTCTCACTGCACTTGTGCTCCAATAAAAAGGTGGTGAGGATGTAGAGAGGTATTCTTGTAACCTTCAGTCTCCTGAGAAAATCTAACTTCTGTTTTCTTGACCCGGAGTTGAGAATCCAGGAGAGGCTTGTGGTTCACCCTCTCCATGGGGGGACGTTAATGCATTTAGAAAGTTCAATCTTTAAGTCTGTGGTGATTTTAAGATGTGGTCTAAATGTCTTTATTTTCCTCTGTTTATCTTTCAGCATCGTAGGTCACACAGAGCCATACACCAAACTGTGCTGCAAAGGCTTCTGCATCGACATTTTGAAGAAACTTTCCCGCAACATAAAGTTTTCCTACGACCTGTACCTGGTTACAAATGGGAAGCACGGAAAGCTGGTCCGGGGAATTTGGAACGGGATGATCGGGGAGGTAAGAAGTACCAAGTTTTACACGACAGCTTCAACCAGGATCACCATTAACACAAACATGAACGAGCTGTGCTGCATAATCACATTATTAATCAGAACAAAATGTCTGAACCAAATTTAGGACAAGTTCAAGTGCTTTTTCTGATTTTTTTTTTACTTGGAGTGAATAAAATAGAGGAAAAACTGCTGTGATTTCAATTATTTCCTATTGCTCTATCTTTAACACCCCTATTCCTGTACGTCTAAAGAACTAAACCTTGGTATCAAAAGTATTCAGGTGGAAAATATTTATACGATTTTTTTTACATCCCAATGAAACCAGCCTTGTTGATGCTGCCACCATTTGAGACTGTGTTAAATTATAAATATGATGATTTGGTTCAACTTATTATTTTTATAAGTTAAAGTTTTTTATAACTTCCAAATAAACAACTGAAAATCGGAATTTTCAATGCCAGTTTTGTTAGACGACAATCAGGACTAAATACACGAGTAAAAATCTGAATAAACTCCAAATTAGGAGACTCCTGATGAATGAGTAAACGGGTCCCAAGGTCACTGTGTAATGTGTGGGAAGAGTTGATGTACAAGGAGGAGGACCACTTGTCACTGTGAGTAATCTGCAGTCAGATTCCTGTAGCTGGCCTTCCTTCAGGGGAGATGAGGGAAATTACACTGGTTGCACACCCTCCCAAATAAAAAAAACAAGGCTATTGTGCTCAATGAGGCATCACCCAGCATAGGAGAGCAAATGGCTTGCATGAGGCGAGGTGTCTGGACCACAGGCTCTCCATCAGCATAATAAAGAGAAGTGTGTTATGGCAGGAGGGCCAACATCAGTTACAGAGAAAACTGAACAGAAATATAAGAGATTCAAAATGGGCCAGAACAGAATCGTTATCAAAACGTTAATAACCTTCAGCTGACAGCTATTTATTCCAGTTTTACTTTCTAATAAGCATTATGCTTAACACTGAAGTACTACATTAGGATTATAAATTGTTTACACAGTGAAAATCGGCTTTATAATTCTTCTGTGAAACTGAGATTTGCTCAACATTTAACCTTCTGCCAAGAAGAAAATTAATTTACATCCATGTCTGACCATCTGGATGTATAAGTTGTATTATTATAAACATGAATGTTTCAAGGCTTTAGATACATTTTGCAGAGTCAAGATGATCTTTACATCTGACGGCCCAGTTTTGATCAATTCATCCCTGAGACTGAGTGGACATCCATGTAAAAGTAGATAATTCCTCCAGGCTTTCCTGATTCATTGAACGCCTAAAAATAAAACCTCGACCTTTGACAAAAAAAATTTAATCGGTTCAATCTGGAGAGCCCAAGTGAACATTTATGCTAGCTGTAATGAGATTCCCCTGAGGCGTTTCTTAGATTGAGATAAGGCAGAGAAGATTGGATGGACAGAGCCAGGGAGAGCGCAACGCTGCCGGTGAGGGCCGGCACCGGTGCTGAAGCATGAACAAGCAAGATAACATTAAGTGAGACTTTTTAGTGGTGTCCTTTCAGCTGCTGCCTAAGCACTGAAGGAAGGAAGTGATTTCATCATCAGGACGAGGCTGCATGTTTTACTGATAAATAGTTACCTGAAAGGTCTGCAGTGGATGTCTGGAACCATCTGCTTCCACTTTCATTCCACCTCAAAAACAACATCTCTATTGATGTTCCTTCCTCTACAGGTATTCTACAAAAGGGCAGACATGGCCATCGGCTCACTGACCATAAACGAAGAGCGTTCAGAAATTATCGACTTCTCAGTGCCATTTGTGGAAACGGGAATCAGTGTGATGGTGGCAAGAAGTAACGGGACTGTTTCTCCATCTGCATTTTTAGGTAAGAAATTCCTTTTAAGATGCTGCTGTCTGCTTGAAAAGGGTCCTTAGCTTAGCTGTCAAACATTGAAAGTGCACCGTGACGGCGTTAATTCCAGCTTTTGAAAAAGCCTCATTTTCTCTGCAGAACCGTACAGTCCAGCAGTCTGGGTGATGATGTTCGTCATGTGTCTGACCGTGGTGGCCATTACGGTCTTTGTCTTTGAATACTGCAGTCCAGTTGGGTATAACCGCAGCCTCGTCACCGCCAAAAGTAGGTCTCATGAACACTTCCTGCCAATGAGTTGCCCTTCAAAACAAAAGCACCAGAGCACAAGATGTGTTTTATGCTTGGATGGAAAAGTTTTTGTTGCTGAAATCAAATGTAGATCATTCTGCTGCAAAAACCAGGACATCCTTATAAAAGAGATTGATGATCTCAATGGTTTTCTTCCTGGTAAAATAAAGTAATAAAAAAAAAAAACATGACAGGAACAAGCAAATCTGGTTTTATTCAAGTAAATTTGAAAGTTTACAAAAATGTCTAATTTTAGACAGTTTTCCTTAAGTTTCATGGCCGCCGCCTTCTTGAACAGCGCTCTAGACCAAGGATTTGGGCTGTTTAAAGTCGAAACAAGGCATTAAGTTAAGATACGATTATTTTATTAAAAATAAATCTATGAACATACGTAAAAGACCCTGAAGCAGAGAAATGTGTCCAGAAACTGGCCGCTCATAACACAGACGCATGTGGTTGCAAACGCTCAGAAAACAGTGAAATTGCAACTGAAGACGATTTAATCAAACCTGGGTAGACATGAACGTGAAGGCAGGGCTGATTCTGGACTTCTCACATCTATCAGAGGCTGTAAAGAACATGTTATCATGTGGCCACACATTGGATCAATTCTTGTGAAATTGAGACACTGCAGTTTCATTTCAGAGCAACATGCTCGATAAAACAGCTTATGGATTTTTACAAATGCCAAATAGGGAAGATAATTGATTTGATTCATTAGATTAGCTTCTTTGGTGCAGCACTTTCAAATGTACATGTTTTGTCTTAATGTTAAACAAATGCCAAAAAAAATGTCATTTACATGCAGTAAATGACAGTGGTACCAATTCCATTTTAAACTCAGTTATCCAAGTTTTATCACATTTGGAAAAATAAAAATGTCAAAGCATGTGATGTTCAAATTTGAACGAAAGTCCTTTTTGTACAATTTGAAAATTAGGTTTAAGTGAATTCTTCAGGGTTTAAAACTTTGATATTTTAAAAAACAAAACAAATCGATTGATAGCAAGTATAAATTAAAATTGTAACATTTGATTTAAAAAAAAAAATAAAAGGTAACCAACACGACACTGATCCCTGTACACTATTTTCTCTAGATCCTGGAGGTCCCACGTTCACCATTGGAAAATCAGTTTGGCTGCTGTGGGGTATCGTCTTTAACAACTCTGTTCCTATTGAGAACCCAAAGGGCACCACTAGTAAGATCATGGTCCTGGTCTGGGCTTTTTTTGCCGTCATCTTCTTGGCTTCCTACACGGCCAACTTGGCTGCCTTTATGATCCAGGAGCAGTACATCGACACCGTCTCTGGACTGAGTGACAAAAAGGTACATTGACTCAGCGGTTTGTGTTAATCTGCTCTATGTTGGATTTACTGCTTAAGAGAAGAACTTTTTTTTAATCCACACACACAGCTGTCGATTGTTAATATTCCCAAATGAGAAAGTACTTTTTGTTCATAAACAAGAGTTGAATTACACAGATTCTCTTGAGTTACACGCCTGTGGAAAGAATATAGACATGCACAAATGAATTTTCCACCCATGCGGTGATTAAAATTTCCTGGTATTATCTTATGCATTTTTTATGCCCAGGGATGTACTTTATAGGAGAATTGACAAGAAAATCCACATTAAACCATCAGCACAAAATGTGATTTGTCGGATTTTTTTTTTTTTTTTGGTTTCAGGCAACTGAAGATTAAAGAGACATTTGCAGAAAAGACAGAGCTGTCCGGAACTCATTACAATTCTACTGAAGTCGTTTACAATTCCCTTTTCATTATAGATTAATTCTGCATTGCAGTGAATTTATTTTACAGCACCTTTATAGATCAATTAACGACATTCTGTATGGCAACACTGTACAGGTAGAACCAAACTGCAACTTGTCCAGCTGTGATAAACTCTGGTAAATGTAAAAAAAGCAAAAAACAATCACATATCAAAGTGTAATGATAGTTAGACATTATAAAGAGGACTGAAGCTTCCTAATGGATAATCAAGTTTAAGTTTTAAGATAGTTGATACTACAGCCCAACCAATATGGAAAATTTGGTTTTCGCCAATACCGATATTGAGAGGGGAAGGCCAATACTGAACCAATATAATGGCTGATTTTATTATTATTTTTTTTTATTTGTCCACCGTCAAGAATCTAAGTAAACAGCAAATGGAGCTGGGCTAGTTTATTTAGCACAGCTGTTGGCAGCCATGAAGCTAAGGTAATCAGATCCACCTTTAATTAGTCCCCACTAGGTTTACAAGTGCTGCACTGGTCATAGAAACAGTCTTCCTAACGTGTGTTCACATTTTCTATCCTCTACTATTCACCATAAAGTTATCAAGTGTGGTACAAAACTATAAATTGAACAAAGAAACGTCCTTCACTGTTCACTGTTTAAACAGTCAGTCAGGTATGGTGAGGGTCTAATTAACATGTGCCCCCCCCCCCCCCCCCCGGCAGTGCTCCGGGCGCCACTATTTGAGAAGGACTGCACTAAACGTTATTGTTCTCCGCTTCGGCTGTGCTGAGAGTGAAACTTAAAGTGAACGGCCATGACTTGAAAGAAGTGTGCATGCACCCTCTGCTGGATACGTTGCACAATTACGCCTTATGCCAGTAAGGACACGGCTTGTTCCCAGTGTTTCTACCGGCACAGAATTGGACAATTATCACAGATACGGACAGGTCCCCAAACGCTTATATCGGTCTAAAATATCGACCCTACTGATGAATCGGTCGAGCTCCAGTTGATACCGCTTTGCAACAAAAGCAAAACGTGAGCATTGACGTTATGTCAAAACTGCAGAGGTAAACATTTGCAATTATTGTGATTCCACTGCTTCACTATGTTAAGTCTCAAGTTGTTATCAGAATCTGTAAAGCCCATCCGTTCATCTCCAGCAAACACAATATTGTATCTGTGAAATGTCGAAAACAGCCAGAAAACATTTCAGCAACATGTTGACCAAATGTAGCAAAGTAGTTAAAGACAAATGTATTTTCGAAATTAGCCATTCTTCTCAAACACTGATACTTAACATAGTTCCTCTTCAGGCTGCAACTATTAATGACTAGTTAGCAAACAGAACTTACAATGTAGTTGCCTTAAAATGTTTCCAATAACGGGACTATTAATTTCCTTGTAAGAGTCACAGAGGCAGGTAATTTTGTCCCTTGTGTTTTGATAATGTTCACAACATTTGTGCAAAAATTTACTCCATAAAAGTCCATCATGGTGGCCAGTGCAATTTTGTTGCACGTGTCCCCAACCAGCCTCAACAGGACTCAAGCTATATGTTAACGCCTGCGTGGGAGTTCTGTTGTGGCACTGATGTTTAATAATTATAAACTGGTCTAAATCTTCTGATTCATTTATTTTTTTGTTTGTTTTTTTAACTTAAGCAGAATAAATCATAAACGTGGGGCCAGCTGCTGACGTGGATATAAAGCAAGCAGATTCAGTTAAATGTAGGTGAAAGTGAGCAACAAAACAATGTGCATCATTTAAAATTACAATTTTGAAAGTCATGCACATGACGACAAGCAAATAATTTCAAAAATGGGATGCTCAAAACATGGTCACATGGTCACATGGCTCACTGACCGCTTGGCAAGGCAGGACTGATTGTGTTCCTCTTACATGTTAAAGCTATCCAAGGTTGCAGAGAACAAATGCTATCATGTAGTCACACCCTGAACCAAGTCTTGTTTAACTGGATATACTGCAGTTTCATTTCAGAGCCACGTTCTCAATAAAATACATTTTTATGGATTTTTTAAAAAGCTATATAGGCAAGATAGTTATGTCACAAATTTTAGTTGCCATCTAGTATCTGACAGTTGCAACCCAGTGAGATACTATTTTAGGATTTATTTGAAATAATCCTTGTCTGGTATTAAAAATAACCTGTATTTATTTTATTGTAAAGGTGATATTAGTAGAGTCAGTATGAACTCGCAGAAGTCAGGAGGGATTCAAGGGTTTTCTGATAATGTTGTCCCTTCTCATTTACTTTTCTTCTCCTTAAGTGTAAATTGACTCTTTAGTTATGTACCCTGAACACATTTGCATAAGGTTAATGAAAGAGTGCAATACTGTATTCCCACTTGTCTGAGTTCCTTTCAATGATAATTAAATGCATATCATACTGCCAAAAGCAAAAGGATAAAATAAGTCGTTTTTTGCGGGGAGACAAGGAACTGATTGAAGTTTAGATCCCTCTGGACAAAATGTCCTAACCGGAAAGTTAATTTCAATCTTTGTGGTGTTGGATGTGTGAATTAACAGAATAAGAAGCTTGAAGGACAGCTATCAAAAAAGCTTTAAAGATATCAGCTATAAAGAATATCACATAAAAACTTGCCCCGTTTCAGAATTTAGGGGCTTTTTGTTTCAAGTTTACAGTATTGCTACATGACAGTTGTTCTTTAATGAAATCCCACGGGACAATTTTTACACATACAGAAATATCTGCAAAGATTATTACTGAAATAAGTAAAAATCTCTTATTTATATGGGCATTGAGTTAATACGAATCACTAATAAAATGTATTATTTTCTGTCAAAAGTTTCAAAAGCCACATGAGCAGTATCCACCATTTCGCTTCGGTACTGTCCCAAACGGAAGCACAGAGCGCAACATTAGGAGTAACTACCCTGAGATGCACTCCCACATGGTTAAATACAACCAGAAGGGAGTAGAGGATGCCCTTAACAGCCTTAAAACAGGGTAGGTTTCTCCTAAGCATCAATACATCTGGTGAAGATGGAGAGAAAAAGCAAATACAAGCAGCTATGTCACTTTATCTTTTTTTTTTTTTATCATGCTAGGAAACTGGATGCTTTCATCTATGATGCTGCAGTGCTGAATTACATGGCAGGAAAAGATGAGGGCTGCAAATTAGTAACCATCGGCAGTGGAAAAGTCTTTGCTACTACTGGTTACGGCATTGCCCTGCAGAAGGATTCACGCTGGAAACGACCCATCGACCTGGCACTGCTGCAGTTCCTGGCTGATGGTATTTGCAATAAATATTAAATGCTGAATAGTAGCCAAGGGAATGGAAAAAAAAGTCATGCATGATGTACTGTAACAATAAAGAAAAGCTATTATACTCATAAAGGAAAAATACAACTATCTATGATGAGGAAAATGATTTAACAAAACCTGATGCGTGGAGTTTCTCTAAATGAGAGACTGGCCTCAGATGTGTCAATAAAAGCAATTAAAAATAATCTGTATGCAATTTATTTCCAATTTTCAGGCCAAAGCCTGGTAACGTTTGTATGAAAACATACTAAACAGCAACACTAGTATTAATTTGCAATGCGTAAAACAATGTGAGAAGCCATAAACAGTGATGCTATGTTTTAAATCAGCAGAATATGTTTTAATTAGAAAACTAGTCATTTTGTTTAAAGTACTAGCATCTAGAATTTACAGACAAAATAAAATGTTTAAATAATAATAACGGGAGTTTTCTACTTTGGAAAATAGCAGCTGTTTAATGAGCTCAATTAAAAACAGATAAGAAATTTCATTTTATCAGCTGATTGTTTGAAAATTTCTTTATCTGGACCAAATGCTTTTTTCAGAAGCTAAACGTGTATTCTGTGCGTTTTACACACAGGTGACACACAGAAGCTGCAGACCGTGTGGCTCACAGGCATTTGCCGTAATGAAAAGAAGGAGGTGATGAGCAGCAAGCTGGACATCGACAACATGGCGGGTGTCTTCTACATGCTGCTGGTCGCCATGGGCCTGAGCCTGCTGGTGTTTGCCTGGGAGCATCTGCTCTACTGGAAACTTAGACACTCCGTTCGCAAATCAAACCGACTAGATTGTCTCCTGGCTATTAGCAGAGTAAGTAACCATCCCATAATCAAATGGATTATGTTGTTTTAAATAGTTTGCAAAAGGTATTTGTTTCTGTCCAATAATACAAAGTACATGTAGCATAGCTACTCTGGTGGCATATTTGAAAACAAGTTTAAATACCAAGTCATACTGGTTAAGAATCACAACAGTTCAATGGCAGAAACAGCAAGATGATTTTTTGGATACTCTTGGAAATAAATAGAGGATTGTGATGTTTGAGAAGCTGAATTTAAATTGCCCCATTAAAATTCTTCATCTCTGTATCAAGAGTGGTCAAAGGTGAGATTACGCATTCCAAAGGAATACATAATTTGAAAGTGAAATCGAGATGGTGTGGCATAAATATTGAAACCAATGTGGTAGGTGCATAATCAACAACTCACATTTCCATCCCTGAGGTCTTTTATGAAAAAAAAATAATAATAATTCAGTTTTCAAGAAAAATAATTTATGCAACACTGATATGGTACACAGCTGTCTTATTTCCTTAATGTGCCATTAAAAAAAAGAAATTTAACTACTTCAAGATAATGTCAAAACATGAACAGAAGTGATTAGGCTCAGTGTGTTTTTTGATAAAGCTTTTAAAATGTGTTATTTTATCTTTTTATCCCTTTGTATCCTTTTGTAGGGCATCTACAGCTGCTTTAATGGAGTAGAGCAAACTGACCACAATGGGAGCATGCAGAGTCCAGACATCACTTCCAACTATACACAAGCCAATATGCTTAAAATGCTGAGGACAGCCAAGGACATGGTGTCCTCTGCCAGAGTGGAGAACTCTCTTGACAGTGCCACTAAAACAATAGAGAACTGGAGCAGACGGGGAGCCGACAATGTGCGAGCTGGTCTGCCTCCCAGAGTTACAACCACAGACATGACCCATGGCCGTCTGCCTTATATCTCTAGCATTACAGACAACCACTCACCATACCCTCACAGGGCTATTACGCCAACCTTCCCAGTGCATTATGGGGACACTTCCACTCAACCTCTCTTGGAAAAGCCCAGGGTGGTAACCCGGCCTTTGCCTCTTGGGTACACACTGCCTACCCGCAGCAATCAGCATCTGTTAGAGAGAACTCTACCCATCTCCAGCCTCAGCAGCCCACACATCGCCATTAGGGATCCTACTCCTTCTGGACCTTCAATTCCCCACCACAGCAGCAGGCTGTATGTGGACAACCAGGCCCGGCACCCAACGTCTCCCTTTGCACCTTATAGGGATTTCCAGGTACCTGACATTTACATGGAGCAAAAAGGAGCCCTGAGGAGAAAGTTTAGTTATCCCCCGGACTGTATGAGCAAGAAGCAAAAGTCTTTTACTTACTTGTTCGACGCTGCAGACCCTAGAGTGAGGGCTGACTATGACGAACCTCGATCTTGCTTTGCTGAGTTGAGGGCTAATCACCTTTTAAACAACCACACTCCTGATGCTGCTGCCATGGCCTGCACTGGAGGACACTACCATGGCAGTAGCACCAACTGCAACTCCTGCATGAAGTCTTACCTGGAGCCTGACATGGACGATATACCCCTCTTGGGAAAGGACAAACTAAATCGGCGTGCCTCGTTCCTCAAAGCCACGTGGGGCAATGACCGAATCCATCAGGTGGATGAAACTAAGCCTTCCACGTCCACATCTCCCTCCACCCGAGCGGATATGCCTGATTTGTTTCCACGGGTAGTATGTCCTAACCCAAAACCTCACAAGCTATATGGCAGTTTAGGGCACAATTTGTCCTGCTACCCCATGGCTGCTGAGCCAGCCTACTTGGACCCCGCTCATATGTGTTCCTACCCATACAAGCAGAAGCTTAAGTATTGTGACTCTACTCGACTACCCTCTTACAGGGAAGCCATCCTGCAGAATGCCGCTGCCCTGCGCCGCTCCTCCTCCACAGTGGTGCACAGACATTATTCCACCTACCTGAACTCTTACACAGACTTACCAGTGTACGTGAGTCCACTGGCACAGGGACCATCACAGTTCTACAACAATCCTAAGGACATGTGCCACTTGATTCCCTGTACCAGCCACTGCCCAGAAAAAGCAGCATTGATGCATCGTGTAAATGACAGACATTTGGTTTCCCACAACAACATGTTTGGGGCCTATGATAGCACAGGAAAGAGGGAAGACCTGGGCTCTGGGAGCAGACAGCGGAGGCAGGTGTTGGTGGCGCGAAGAGTCAACAGTCCTTATGTGCCAAAGCCCTGGGGCAGGGTATCTAGTCTGGAGTCTGAGGTCTGAACAATCCTTAATGTCCATTTTGGCCTGACTGAGTCCCTGACAGAGGATGTTCTGGAGGTTGTTCCCTCGGCCTCTGGTCAAAGCAAAAATTAAACTTTATACCAACAGTGTATTTGAGAGTGTTTTTTCTCTCAGTTATCAGTGCAATAATATCTTGGGTAGCAAAGTGTAAAAGACGTGAAACAAAGAACTGCTGGGACTTTGTAGGTCAAACCTCTGAATCTACTTAACTGAACTGAAATGTTACAAAGTATTCACATAAAGATTTAACCCGTTCATTGTTCATGAATTTTTAATACCGTGTGACCATCTGAAAGGTTTTTGGGAGACAATATACTGTAGCCTCTCCACACGAATACAGATTAAATACATCTCTCTATCCCCCCCCCCCCCCCCAAGAATCTTTTATTACCCATCATGTCAAGTGACTAAACAATAACCAAACTAATTTTGTGAATTAAGCACTGAGATGTCTTCCGTAAACTTTTTTAAGTCCACAACCTTGGGTGCACCATAACATTCTGGTCATTATTGTAATGCTACTGCACTTCTAAAGCTAGTAGAAAAAAATAAATCATATAAAGTAGTGTGTGTATCTGCATTGTTACTATACCCTTTAATAAAAAACAAGGCTATCTGAGGAGCCTTTTGGCTGATTTCCAGTCTTTTTCATGCGTATGCTCTGATTTACAGTGACTCCATGTGTTTTATCAAAGAAAACAGAACCATAAAACTGATGCAAGTATTACAAAGCTAGCTGGTGAATGGTGTACGTTGAAATTTATACTTCAAATATAAACGAGCGAACCGCTCTGGTAGATGATCACCTGCATGAACTATAGTAATGTTTTCATCTTAATATGTAAAGCATTCTGAGTTTCTGACATCCAAGAAAAACACCAAATCACAAAAAAATGGCAAAATATCTTGATTTTGGTCAAGTTTTGTATAAATGCAATGGATGAAAGCTTTCCAGTCAAAGTGTGGCAGAACCACAAGAAAATTCAATGAAAGATTTCAAGTTAAAAAAGAAACTGTCCGAGTTGAGCTCACAAGCAAGCAAAAAACAAAATTACGTTATGTTTGACAGCAAACGATAAAAGAGCAACAAAATTCAGCAGTAATAATCAGCAATGTGAATATATAAAAAACATTATCTGCACACAAAAAAGCTGCATAGCAGGAACCAAACCATTTCAGCTATGGCATACGCCACACCACGAATTCACCAGCAGTCACATGCCGACATGTCCCTGGAGAAGATACTGAACCCCTCGTTTCCTCCGATGTGTGTCCCATTGGTGTATGAATATGATAAAGCTCCGACTAGTCTCTTTAGAATGATTTGTTCAATTAGCTTTGTAGAGATCTAGTAGAGTGCTGTATGAATGGGTAAATGATGGCACAGATTGTAGTGTAAAGCGCTTTGAGTATCTCCATAAGATAGAAAGGCGCTATATAAGTACAGTCCATTTGCAAACACTGAAAAGCACCAACAAGTGTCCAATTCATTGTAAGCAATAGGTTTTCCTTGTCGTCTCACTGGTTTTATGTAAATATGTTTCCTTTCAATTGTATCCAAAATAACCAAGTCTCATAACGCCAGTAAAGAATAGGTCTAAATCTTCAAACTCATAAAAGTTATATCAGAAAAGGATGAAGACGCTCACCGGCTCAAGGATGTCCATGATGATTGGGGGGATCAGTGGATATTTGCCAGAGTTCAAAACTGCAAAGACAAGTAGTAGAGAAAACGGTTTATTGCAGCTCTTTGACAATGTGATGATTTTCTGTCAGTAAGGAACACAAATCTTCAATGAGCTATAAAGAAATAAAAGTTATTGGTATTTTATTCAAACAACAAAAATGTTTTGTAAAGTAAGAATAGTAGTAGTATGTCACTGGGTTGACTGATGGAAAAAAAAATTTTTTAAAGGTTTTACGTTGCAATCTGATTTTTAGTTCATTTTTTTGCCTGCCACAGGGACTGCAGATTGACATTAGTTAAAATATAATCCAGTACATCAAAGGTCATGCGCAATCAGCCAGGTACAAGATCCAATAATGTTCAATCAGGTCATCAGCACGTTTTTTTTTTGTTGGTGGAAAGATGTTTTGCCCTCTCTCCGAAGAGCTTAATCAATCTGAGGAGTCCCAAGTAAACTGTTTTCCCCACTAAGCAGTACACTCCTTTAGTGGTTGGTCCACTAAAGGAGTGTACTGCTTAGTGGGGAAAACTGCTGTTTTGGTGGACTTAGGATAACGTCTCTGCTTTTTGCAGATGAAGTCGTCCTATTGGCTTCATCATCAGGTCATGATCTACAGCTTTCGCTGGAGCATTTCACAGCTGAGTGTGATGTGGCCGGGACGAGGATCAGTTCCTCCAAATCCGAGGCCATGGTCTTGAGCTGGAAAAGGGTGGAGTGCCCTCTCGGGGTTGGGGAGGAGGTTCTGCCCCAAGTAGAGGAGCTCAAGTAGCTCAGATTCTTGATCAAGAATGAGGGAAAAATGGAGCGAAAGATCGATAGGCGGATAGGTGAGGCGTCGGCAGTGAAGCGGGTGCTGTACCGGTCTGTTGTGGTGAAGAGAGAGCGGAGTCAAAAGGCGAAGCTCTCAATTTACCGGTCGAGCTATGTTCCTACCCTCATCTATGGTCATGAGCTTTGGGTTGTGACCGAAAGAATGAGATTACGGATACAGGTGGCCGAAATGAGTTTGGGAGGGAGGGACGGACTGACGGATTGATTGATTTTTTGATTGATTGATTGATTGATTGATTGATTGATTGATTAAAGTGACCAGAGTGCTGTACAGCAGCATTTTAACCAGCCACTTTTTAAAAAACAATCATGGTCTATGTTCATGTGCACGACTTGTAGAACTGCAATGTTGGCTGCCCACATTTTGTTTCCCTGTCATGCCAACCCCGGCCTGCCTTGTATCCACCTCAGCAGCCGCTCCATGATTACGGTTAAATCTACTAGAGTACTTTTAATTTGAAGACTGGGAGTTTGGAAAAGTTTTTTTTTGTTTTAATCATTATTTACCATCAGTCTAGTGTTTAGACCTAGACATTACCATTGGATGTCTTCCATTTAAAAAAAGACCCCAACTAGTGTTAATCTAGAGCTTTTGAGCTCTTGTCGTGTTATGCACTTGTTGAACTTGTTTAAAACTTGAGGGACAGGACTGCGTTCTGCAACGCACGTGAGAAAATTGAGAACCATTGCCACTGTTGCAAGATATTCTGGCCACTTCCCCATGAATGCTGTACACCAACTAGTTGCAGCTGAATGCAACTCCAACTTAATTCAAACTTTATTCCATTTGATGCACAAAAGCAAAACTCAAACTTTATATTTTTCAATAGGTTACACAGTAACTCATTGTTGAAGTTTTTTTTTAAATTCTGGTTAATGTGCTGTTTGAACTAGAACTACAGTAAGGTGCTTTGTTGTTGTGAAACTCTCGGTTCTGCTTCTCGTGTGTTTTCAGATTGATTTAGATACAAACGGGGTCAAAACACTACTTCAATGACACATTTGTGTATCCCAAGTTGCTCGCTGGTACCTGCTAAATTGATGGTAGGGTCGGCTGATTGCAGCACAGATGATGAATGATTCTACACCTGCAGAGAAATGCAGAGAAAATGTGACTGGCAATTTGCCATCCAATATCCAAACTTTCCACAGACACAGCTGCTGCGTCGCACACTGCTGTGGAAATTAAACCATTTACAACCAGCTTTATTTGGAGCTCTCAGACAATTCTGTCTCCAAACTGGGAAATATGACCGTTAATGATTATTTTACATCACTACTTATGAGCTTTTTGTAGGATTTCTACAGTTTATCATTAAGCTTTTCTTTTAAAAAGTGAAGTTTACTTTTCAGCAGAAGATTGAACGAACGAGTTTCTGACGTCACCAAATTATAATCCAATCAGTAACAGGAGGTTTGAACATATTACAACCACGAGGTGAAAAATATCGGCTCATAATTTGGCTGTTTTTCTGTGAGATTTATTGCTGAATGTTTTCTATTAGCGCAACTGATGTGACTTTTTTTTTCACATTATAAAAATAGTTTAAACAGTTTAAAGTGGGGTTCTATGGAAAATTTATGAACAGTTAATATCTTACCTGTTGGAGAAACGTTTGTGAAGGAACAGATTCTGACAGGATTGATAAACAAATACAGCTAAAACTAAAGTGGATCGTTGCCTTTTTAAAATGGGTCCAATTTAAAAAAATAAAATCATAATTTCTGTGAATTCCATGATATAATCTGTAAAAGTTTAAAAGTACTCATTTCAACGTAATGAAGCGCAGATAAATTCACAAAAAAACAAAATGAAACTCTTTCAAACTGCACCTTTTGATATAGTTCAGGGTAACATTTTACATGTTTGATTTCATTGTCTGCGAAGAGCAGCTCAAAATAAATGTGCATGAGCTCTTATAAAATTGTGATGAAAGATTGGAGTTGTTTCAAGATGACAAAATTGCTTCAGACGTGACTCTGCTCAGAATGTACCAGCTGGATTTAGTGAATAAACTGATGTTAGTTTGCTTTGGAAACTTTCATTTCATCAATTTTCCACTGAATTCCACTTCAAACTGTTTAAACTATTTTTTTTTTACATGAAATAAGATAAAATGACAGTTTTCCAAATGCCATGACAGTTCTTGGAAATGCTATTTTTAGGGGCGTTCAAGACGAGTGTTTTGTTGAGTCGTGTTTTGCTGGGCTCCCGTCTTCTCAAGCAAGGAAAACCGAAAGAACTGCCTTTCGTGAGGTCATTCTCACCGCCTCCGAGCTGGAAACTCCAAGAGTCGACTCTCTCACTCTCAATATTGCTGGCTGGAGAGAGAACTAAAGGATGGCACCAAAAATTAAACGGAAAACTGCGGGCGGTCACTGGGCTGCACGCCTTCTCCTCAACCCACAGTAGGTCAGGTCAGGTTTAATTGTCATTTGCAAAATCAACACAAGGTCAACAATGCAGCAAAATGCTTATGACGAGAAGAACC